AAATGGGTGTAATGAAAAAATATGAATAATACTATTTTGTAGTTGATTTCTGAGATAGAACAGGAAAAACATCACAGATAGGAAATACGTCACACTCGGGTCATCGCAAGCTCCTTAAATAAAGTAGCTCAGAGACGGTCCAGTTCTTTTTGTCCAGTCTTTTTCACTGAGAGATTCTCTCTCTGACCTCCTCCTTTCTTTTCCCACTGCCAAGTCTGCTTGGTCCCCGTCTCCCCCACTCTCTCTGTACAATTTTTAAGCTAGATAAAGCAGTGTTTTCTGTTAAATCCCATTAAACCTTGATTTCGGAGTCTTCTTACTTGGTTTGGAATAAATATTCTAGGTCATGGCTGAGCCAGGGCTCACTATTACGGCAGTATGATACAAATTTGCATTTGTAAACAGGATAAAAACTAGAGCAGATGTGTAAATTGTAACACAAGGCCCGGCTTTTTTTTTTTTTTTTTTAAACTGACCCTTAATTTTCAAGAAGGTCAACATTTGCTAAAAAAAGAAAAGAAAACTAAATGAAAATAGCTGTAGACCAGATTATTTCTGCAGTAGTGCTGTGCATGTTACAGAATCAACTAATTTCTTTAGCTAGTTTCAAGGGCAAGTGGGAGGCTGCTGATTGATTATTTTACTCAATATTCACACACTAGATTTTAACAGTTATCCTGAGAAGATGAAGTGATTGATACCTGTCTTTGATCCATCAAGTCATAGATTTGATCCTGATAGTCTGAGCCATCTTCACTGTAGTGCTCCAGGATAAAGTCCTGTTGAAGCAAAGAATTTTCATTCATTAATTGATTTACTTGTGCATTTATTATCAAAGCAGCAACACATATTTGTAATCCTATCTAATTAATAACACAAATCTCACAACAAAAAACTTGCAGTGTAGCCGAAGAAACAGGTTGAGTCAAACCAAACTACATCGGAGTGATCCTCATCCATCAGCCTTTAACTTGAACCTGCCGGAGTTTAATGGAGTCTGTGGTTCTCTTGTTTATTATTCTCTGACCTACTTTCCATTTTCACTTAGAAAAGCCCAGCAGTGGGCCTGTCGCCTGAAGAAAACAACAAGAGGGCGTTGTGAATAAAACTGACCTTGAGAGGAACAGAAAAATCCACATCTTTGGTCTCCTTGAGTCCCAGAGGAATGAGCGGGATGCTGGACGTTTCTCTGTGAAAGAAATAGAGTGGAATTACATTCACAAAACTAAAGATGAGAGCACTGCAGAGATTGCTGTATGAAACAATAAGACTTCAAGGTTAACTTCCTACTCGCCATGACTCAGGTCTTAGATGTTCTCAAAACTTCAATTGTATGTGACCTCTGGCACACATGACTTATCCTACAACAATTCTCAGTGAGCTTTAATTAGCACTGAGACTGAAACCACAGCAAATGATGCTTTTCCATTACAAGCCTATTGACCTAGTAATGCCCTGAGAAACTGGATGGTACACTAGAGTGGCCTAATCTCCAGTTCTGTGCTGAGCAAAGTTAAATCCACCCAACAGAATGGTTTCAGTGTTAACATTGTTAGCACATGGGGGGCAGGAGAAAGACAAGAAAATGCAGAAGTGTGAGCTGACGAGAGGCAGCCCTGGCCTGGTGTACCCTTAAGACTGATAACGGTGCACTTTTGAGTGGTATGTGTGAAATATTGTTGGAACAGAGGGAATTTCACTCATTCTTCAAGAGGATTGGAAGTAAATCACCATGTAAAATTAGGGATGCACCGATACTATATTTCTTCAATATGAGAACCAGTACCTACGGTTGAGGACCTGTTGATATCGAGTACCAGTACGAGTACTTAATAATCCAAGTACACTTACTTTTACGACACCTTTAAAACTGAATCATTATAAATTGAGGAAGCATTTTAGTTTTAAGTGCTCATTTTAAAAAACAACCAAATGAGTTACTTAAACATTTCAGTTGGTCCATTTCTTACTTTTTTTTGTTTTTTTTTATAAAAAGCAACCTTTTATGGCGGAAGCAATGATGGGGTTATTTCACCAATACAAACTTCATTATACTTTTTCTAAATACTCTAAAATAGCCATGAGCACCTTCTTGTATTCTACAGAAACAACATTCTACAGAAACTTTTAACTGTGAGAAAAGTTTACTGTGGACTTCTGTACTGCCGCTTGATAGCATTGATGCGATCAAAGACCACATATGAAAGAGACCCGAGTCATTAAAAAAAAAAAAAACAACTCTGAATTGAACAAATCAGATACAGGTCAGATATATTTTCAAGTTTGAATCATTCTTAGACACAAGCCTGGTGTCTGCTATAAGTTTAAACCTGCAGTAGATTGGTGGCGATTTAACTGTGCAAACAGTTGTCCTGCATGCGGAACAAGTCCGTGGCACACACACTAGCAAAGCCATCAGAAACGGGTTTCAGACATGAGGAATCCCATGGCGCAGACATTATCACACCTACTTCAAAACAGTTCTGAAACACTGAATCGGATAGAGACCCAATACTGATATCAATGCATCCCAATAAAATCTTCCTTTGCAAGAGAATTCATTTTTTTGTACTTCTTTATCAGTAATTGCTGGGTATTAAATAATTTAACTCAGCATTAGTCAGTAATAACAGGACTGAACAAATCTACGTACACTTTCTACTCTTACAAAAAAAGGAATGACATCAGTCTATCAGCATTCCAATGTTATGAGGAACACTCATCGCTATTCCACCATTTTCATCAGTGCACACTGTAACAAGAACTTCAAAGTGTCCACAATATTCAAGCCAACATGACGCAGAGAACAGAAGGCAGGTTTTGTTCCTGTACCCTTTTCAGGGCATGAGAAAAGCTTGTGTTTCAAAACAAACCGAGAGGGATCAGGTGGAAGCCGGGGGGTGTTCATGAAAGAATGCAGTTTGGTTTGAATGCACACAGGCACACCAACACACACATACACCGTAAACTGGCTAGCAGGTGCTTTCAAGAAAGCCACATTGTTTTCAGCGACAGGAAGACCCTTGTTCTGGTCTGGACTGATCAGGCTTCTGTGTATGAAGCCCAGGTGATAAGAGGGCACCGATGGGAAACATTCTTTTCTCACACTATCTTACACGATAGTCTTTGTTTATCTTAGAAAGCAAATAAAGTGCTTTTGAAGAACAAATTTGCTGTACATGAGAAGAGAGTCGCCTCAGCTTCTGAGGAAATCAAACACATACTGCAGTGCTCCACAACCTGTTTTTCTTGATCACAGAGTGCCTCATGTTCTATGTTCAATGTAGAAGGAAAAGGTTTCCAAGGTTTTCAAATTTTCAAAACAAACTGCTTTTAAAAACAAGTCAAATTTGGCAAGAAAATTCACCCCTATTTATTTATTATTTATTACTATTTATTTATTATTTATTACTATTTATTTATTGTTAATGCAATTTATGGACAGCTGCGTATGTATGGTAGTGAAGACACAAGAATTAAAAAAAAAAACTGTTGTCTGCTTAACTTATTAAAAAAAAGGGCCCTGTGTTCCAAAGACCTGAAGTTCTGAAACTATGGTTCTCCCAATAATACAGATTATAGAACAATCCCCTTAACAAGTTGTAATAATGGATGTAGGTCAGGGGGTAGAATAGGGGCCGATGTCTTTTCTGGTTTACTATGAAACCTGCAGACTGAGCGGATAAACATTTTTCATCAACATTGGGCCTTAAACAGACGTACGTTTCAATAATTTACGACACTAATGCTCATGAACTAGGCCAGCATTACTCCGTAAGGGGGGGGGGGGGGGGTTGAGCTGAAAATATGGCTTATTTTAATACAGACAGTAAAGCGTGCCAAGAACACTTGTGGGTGCACACGTGAACACGTTCTGAGTCACTGTGGTCTAGGAGGTAAACGAGAGGATTTAAACATTGAGCTGTAACCAAGGAAACGCTCAAGGGCAACAAATTAAACACAATATATACCCAGAGTGACTGCCACAAAAGGTGCCTTTCTTTTTATATGGAGAGTGTACCTCTAAACAGTAACTTGAGGACTGTAGAATATAGATTTCATGTTTTGTTTTGTTTTTTTACATTTTTGTCATCTACATTTACTATTCAACATTTATAGGTCAACAATTTAACATAGGAAGACAAACACGTCCTGGAATCTTTTTCGAACACGTGAGTGAGGAGACATGAGGCACGCATAAGAAAAGAGGCAGAGCCTGAAGAATCAACAGACCCATCAAGCTGCCAAACAATCTTTTGGAAAACCTGCTAGACCCGTTTTGTGTAGAGTTGGTTTTCGTTCGAGAATTTGATGCTTGAAAATAACAAACGAAGATGCACCTGACTGTCCAATGAAGATTGCATTCATGAAATTATTATGCTAATTACACCATCAATTTTATTTATTTGTGAAGGTTCTCATTCAAACACAACACAAGATAGTGTTGAGAGATAAACTGAAAATGTGTTGTAAAAAGATTATAACAGCACCTTTTCAAAATAAGCTAAACATTTACACTAAACCTGATGGCATTCTGTAAATACTGCAAAAGTCACCAATTCATAGTATTTTTTGGGATTTTGAAAACATTCACATGTGCATGCCTCTTGACAGGTCACATCTCCACATGTTGTATTACTCAAAACAAAACTATAATTTGCAACTATTAGTTAAAAAAAAAATAAATAAAAAACGAGGACCCCGTTTGATTCATGATATTTTCTGCCGAATCTTGAAGGCCGGACTTTAATTAATTATGCTGCCCGATTGGATTTGCTGTCCTCTTTAACTTTGAACTTATGTTAGACATATAAAGATTAATTAAGAATGACAATAGATTTACAAATTATCAAATTGAAAACAAAAAAAAGAGAAAAAAATAAAGTATTTAAAATATATATTTACATTTACGTATTTAAAGGAAACTTTTATCCAAACTTACAATGTGTACAATTACCAGCAAGTAACTCAAGAATTTAACACATCTTATAAATTTTCGTCTTTCCTGAGATTTGAACCCATGACCTTTGCGCCGCTACCACAATGCTCTACTGACTGAGCAACAGGAAAGCTTAAAAAAAAAATATGCAAATGTTGTAAGAGAACATTTTTAATTATTCCATTTTAATCCTATTTTTAATTCAGTATTCTTTAAAAATACCATATGACACATAAGAAAAAGGGGGTGTGACAAACGAAGGGTTAAATCAAGACGTGACCATAATCTCTTAAACTTCTGCTCTATGTTCAAAACTCAAACTTCCATAACAAAATGTTTCCTATTCCTGCCATAAATTAATATTTAACACAAGATATTGTTCTGGGCATTTACTAGTATGCCACAGCAGGCAGTGAAACCTCACAGGGTCTCAAGGAATCACTGCTCTCGACGTGTTGGAGATAAAAGTATCTTATTGGAATGCAATATTGGTCAAATTGGAGCATCTGAAACTCGAGCTCAGCTCAATCAATCTCCCCTTTATTTTTTATAGTCATATATATTTTTTTTATTATCAGAAAAAAAATGCTATTAGTCTTATCCTCAACAAGAAAAAAAAAAGCAGTGGGTTTCTTAGATTGCTAATAGCAAGAACTTGATTACCCACATGAAGTTACCCACATAAGTTCAGCACATACCTTCACGGCTATGAATCATTTCACAAGACATTTACATGCACAGAATCAAAACTGTAAAAAAAAATATTTCCTCGAATTTCTCTACCCATTACCTTGCCTTCAGATTAGTCATTTGATTTATACAAGTGCAGTACCGATGAGATCATTGCATGCAAAGAGTTCTTATATCAGTCTGAAGGCAGCCCTCACATCACTGTAATTGATGAGGGAGGCTTCTAGATGAACGATGTGAGCAGTAACTGGCCATCCTGTCTCTAGGAAACTATGAATCTTACTGGAATTTGAACTTGTGCTCACTGTTTCTTTTGCACACTAATCATAGGTGCAGTATGTAAGTACTTACTGCACATTCTGATACACCTCCACTGAGCTGTTGAGGCCTTCCAGCTGCTCCATTAGAAGCTGAAGATCAGAGTTGACATAACTCAACTCCAGCTCCACCTGTTCTCGAACCTTATTATTAGAAGTAGCCCTTGAAAGAAAGAAAGAAAGAAAGAAAGAAAGAATACAGATGAGTAAACTTATAACAAGGGTAAAGTGTTACATTTTTGCAAGGCCTCTGCTCAGAAATGTTACCTACACCTGTTTCACTTTTACAGATAGAGGATGCCACAAATAATATGATATGTAATGATTTCTGATGACGATTGACTGTTCTCATGACAAATTCATGACATGCTACAATTTCTTCTGTGAGTGTCCCAGCTGGCTCTGACCTAATTTGATCACAATGTTCTTTAGGTAATTATAATACTGACAAGTCACAACAAATACTTCTCTCATTGAATGCAGTTATATTTATTCTAATATGTGCTTGAGTTATACGGGACAAACTTCAACAAGCTTAAACTTAAACAGGTCGACAACTCAGACAAGGAAATGAACAGATGATTGTAGGCTTGCAATTGCAAAGTAAAACATATAAATCAAGTGTTTTTTTTAACCATAGAAAAAGATTTATAAACTGACCTTAAGGTGGTGTAGCAAGATTTTTTAGGGGATGTCAATGAAAAGTACTGATGACATTGAATTTAGAGACAATTTGTCAAATGATTGTGAAGATACATCTCCAAATTAGACTTGCCACAAATCTCATGGTGAGATTTTTAATGTCAACACAACTTCTTGCCAGCAAGGTCTGCGGATATTGTGTGATTCCGATTTGGACAAACTGTCTTTACAGTATGAAAAAGAAGGTTTTCAACCTAAATTAAAATGGTGGACAGGAAATTCAACTGATTCTGGTAAAAATTTTAATCCATAGTTTGATTAGCATTAGGTTGATAGCATTATTCTAAAAGTGTTTGCTGCCACAAAACGTGTTAAGCCGAAATTCAAAATGGCTTATGTACTAAAAATGGAGAGAGTTTTTGTGATTTTATGGTAAATTGATATGATATTATAAGACAAAAAAAAAACAATTTGTATATCCCCTGACCCCTAGGGGGCACTGTGCTGAAACTCTGCAGGCAACCTCAGATCATAGTTATAATAACATCCACTAAGTTAGGTCATGAGACTCTAAAGTGTTACTCAGATAGAGCCTTATGACCATTCTGGTGAGCATTTTGTCAATTGTTCCTGTGCCATTCGTAAACGCTTTGTTGAATCAATGTGAACTCCACAACTTTTAAGCAACATGGTCAGATTTGCAGGTAGTTCAAAATGGTGACCAATTAACATAATGTACAAGGACATCAAATGCATTGGAATTGGCCTGAGTCAAAAAGAAAGAGGAAATAAGAGTTTTGTTTCTAGTCCTTATGGTAGAAAATGTATTAGAATTAATATAAGTGCACCATTGGACTTACGGTGGCACTATATAGTCCAAATTACTCAGAAGAGCAAACTTCAAAGGTTTTGACATTTTACCACATGAGAAAAATTTAATTGTTAACACACTGCTTTAGTTCAATTGAAACTCAAAAAAACACACCAAAAAACCTATAGATGCCTATAGTGTTTACTGTATTATTATGTACACAAGCCCTGTCAGGAAGACAGGGTGGGCCCCCAAAACATTACGACTCAATGAAACCGGTTGGGCCTGTAAGCTTACTCTTATAAACATGCAAGAATCTGCAGAACAGCAGCTGAGATCAGAGAGCGAGTGTGAAAGAGACATCAAGGTAGGAATGTGCGTGTGTATGGGGGGGGGGCAGTGTGGGGTGATAAACGGATATAACTCCCTTATGATTCATCCATTAAGTGAAAAACTACATCCACAAGTCTAAAACCAGTAACATTTGGCAAAACAAAGTGAAGGGGATATCAGAAAACAAAAAGGCAATCTTTTGGATTGACTCACACTGAAAACATTCAGACGCCTGACCTGTTTTTTTTACTAAAATTGCTGACATGGATTTGTGCGTACGTGACTGCAAATGGTCTTGAGGTTCTCTCCTGTTAAGTAAACACACTCACTTAACTCCAATGACCCCACAAATGTACCTGTAACACAGACATCTCTTGATCTGAAAAAACAATGTCCGACATTTCCAAAACCGATTATAGCAAACATCTTCCTCACAGAGCAAACAAAAATAATCCCCTCTCTGGTTTCTTATTTTAAAAGCCTTGCCCAGACTTTATTACACAAGAATACAGGCTAGTTTGACGTCAAACCCAATCAAACGCCTTGCCCTGAGGACCAACCCAGCAGGTGTGTGTCTTTCAGAACTATGGAGACAACAGACACACTTAATGTCCCCATGGTGATGGGTTTGTCGAATGTTAGAGTCTGAGTGAAAACACTGGGAGAGCTTGAGAGTTAAATGCAATGTAAAAGCTGTGATTTTCACAACAAGATGCAAAAAGCAAGTTCACAAATACCCAGAGGAGCGAGTGTGGGTGTGCTCCGACTGGAAGTCTAATCTGTTTGGCGCACTATTTTAAAAGGCTTCGTAGAACAGAAACTCTTTAAAATGGAGCTGTCTGGAAACAATCCCCTTGTTATGCATCGGGGGATTACTGTCTGACCAATAGCAAGACAATCCCAGCCTTGTGGTGCTAATTTGGATTAGCATTCAAACAAACCAAACCTATCATTTTAAATCGGTCAAAAGTGCCTTTGAGGTCATAACACTTTAGACGGTCACAGTGGTCTTTTGGTTACAACTGAGCACATTTCAGCCAAGTAAACAAAAATGTAAATATTAGCAAATTAAAACTTTACATTAACTAAACTGCAGAAAAGACCGAATTCAATTTTTTTCAATTTCATTCAAAATTTTATGCATGAACCATTTCTGTCCAGATTTCCCCATTGCGTGCTACAGGAGGACACTGTTTTTGCATGAAAATATTTGCATGATGCTTTGCATGTTTTTAGTTAAACAGTTCTTTCCTCTCTCTCGTCATAACAGCATGCATGGATGATCAGTGATTGAAATACAAATTAGCCATGGCTCCACTACTATTTAAAGACACGTCCAGTATATGGTGTGCTACATAAAACTATTTGCATTAAAGTTACCTTGTTTATTTTCACAGAACTCCATAGTGGATGTTAAATATCACATTCTCACCTTCTTTAGTCATCAGCATTGACAAAAGCACAATGTTTCTGTCTCTCATCATCTGCGGATCTAAAAGGTAAGAATGCAAAAAGCAGCCCTGACTGTCAGATCTGAGAGCAGATGAGATTCCTAGTTCCACATGAACACTTGTTTCTGCTCCCATTCAAACACAAGTGGAGAAATTCTTTGCTGACGGGTAAGTAGAGGCTACTGGCAGAACCAAAATCTTCAAAAAAGGGGCCCCGATGTTCTCAAGACGGCACTAAATGCTGTAAAGGAACCCAATCAATGGGCTTGGTCTCGAAAAATAGTCACTCAGCGACACTTGTTTGTTCAACTCAAGATTAAAGTGGCAGAAAAAGAACTTGATTTTCTGCTTGACTTACTTGAGAAGGTTCTCAGCTCCAGCTCTCATCCTCATCTGCTTGATGATCTGCTGGTTGAGGACAGCCCTTTTATTTTGCAACTTACTGCGTCCCGTCTGAGCAAATGGATTGCATCCCTGTAAAAAACAAAGAGATTGACATAAGGTTTACAGGGCGCTCTTGGGGATTTATCATCTGCTGTTAAGTTAATTGGACTTCAAGCTTTTAGAAGATGTGAGTTTCACTTGGAGTGATTTGGATTGCAGCATATCTATACACAATAAAAACCCAAGCGCATGCCGATCTACTCGAATGTATGTACACAGGAGGTGTGTGGAGTACATGACGTGTAAAGATCTATTTTGCAGCCAGTCACACCTTTACAGTTCCTGTCATAAATTGGATGGCTGAGGGAGGAGGCCGGATTTCTGGAATGAATCCAGGTTAGAACTGCAAACATCAAATCTTGAAAACAACCCATAAATTTTGTGTCTATTTCTGAAAGAATGTTAATTTGTCTTTGGTTTATGGCCAAAGGCAACATGATTAA